AATTCATATCGTCAAATCGTATCCAAAACCATATTAAAATCGTAAAAAAAATATTTCCTGAATTCAGCATCCTAGAGGGATTCCGGTGTCATAAATCTGGTGCATTCTCCAGGCCCGCATCGGCTGCCAGTACCGAATGGTTTGAGGGCGAGGCAAAGCGGAAGTGACGCCTAGATTGTTTGGTCCCGCGGATGTTTTCAGAAAGGGCAAGTTTTGGTCAAATGAAATGAGAGAGATTCTGGAAATGGTGCAGAGAAACATAGCCACACGGTTGGATTCATCCTTTCGATTCGGAAATTGATTCCCCGTCATCATCATCTACAACAATGAGAAAGTCAAAGGGAGCATCAGGATAGAAGTGTAGCCACGTTGAACTTTGACGTTCATTCCCTGATACACCAGACCTGACAGGTTGGCTTTCAGGTCAAGTGGAAAGGGCATCAGATTTGTTTCCCATCACAATCCCCATGACCTCCATCATGTCTCAGGCTGCAAGGCCACCGTCGCGTCAGCTGATGCGCTCCCAGAGTCAGAGGGTTTGGGGCCCGGTAGCTGATATCGAACATTTTTTGCTCCGTGAGTCATGATTCTTTTCTTGTTTTCCTCATAATTTTAGCATGTTCTGTGAGGATTCTTGGATTCTTGTTCTGTTATGGTATATAATGCTATATATATATACATATATGTATATATATACATATACATATATATATATATGTATATATGTTCTCACCATGGTAGCATGGTGATTCTTGACACCTCAGCATTTTTCTATGAAGGTCTACGCTTCGGAAGGTGGTCTTTGTGGAAGCCTCCTGGGAACTCAAAGGCGGGCTCCATGGCAGGAGCCAAGCTGCCCATCTGGCTCCCATCTCTATATCATGGATGGATAGATACATAGATAGATTATATATACAGATTCATAACATGCTTATTATATCTTATTATATCTTATTATTATGATTTTTAATTTTTGTAATCTTACAATATTACACACAGACCCCGAGGTTCCCCCAAACCCAGAATAGCGTAATTACCAGGGAATTCTGTACCGCATCAAACAACAGGAAGGATTTTATGTTCAGTTATGTTGAACATGTTGCTTCTTCAAATCATAAAGCCAGAAAATGTCGCTTCTACATATCATATCGAACTAACCATACAATCATTAGGGTTTCTTACAGGGTTTCAAGAAGATATCAAAATCCCGCGCCCCATGGAACAAGTAACCATAGCGGTATCATTAGGGGTTCTTTTAGGGTTTCAACGAGATATCAATGTTCCCCGGCCCCATGGAACAATTAATCATACAGTCATTAGAGTTTCTCATATGATTTCAAGAAGATATGAAAATCATCATAATCGTCGTCATCATCATCATCATCATCATCATCGCCATTGTCGTCATCTTGGCTTGCCTGAATGCTCGTTGCGAGTCCGGACAAATCTCAGGGTCTTGTCGTGATATTATTATTTTTTTATTATTTTATTATATTAATATATTTTTATATCATGATATTATTACATTATTATATTATTATATTACTATATTTTTCTATTACTATATTATTGTATTATTATATTATTATAGTATATTATTTTATTATATGATTATATGATTATATGATTATATTACTGTGTTATTATATTATTATATCATTTTATGATTATATTATTATATTAGATTATGTCATTATATTGTGTTATTATATTATTATGTTTTATATTATGTTTTTTTTTTAAATGATTATATCATATTATTGTATTATTATGTTTTTATGTTATGTTATTATATTATTATGTTTTTTTTCTTTATAAAAAATATTATTTTATGTTTTTTTATTTTTATTTTTTATATTAAGTTATTTTATCTTATTGTTATATATATATATATTTATTTTTATATTATTCTATTAAATTATTTTATTATATTATTATATTATAATTTCACATTATGATATTATTATATAATCTTATTATAATTTCATATTATCATATTAGTTTTTTTTTTTTTAAATATATTGTTACATTATTATATTATTATATTCTTATATTATCAAATTAGTATATTATTATATTATTATATTATTGTATTATTATATTTTTTGATGTTTATATTAGTATAATAGTATGTCATTCTGTTATGTTATTCTATTATTTTGTTAGTATTTGATTATTCTATTCTACTATTCTATTAAATTATTCTATTATTATATTATATTGTTATATTATATCATATTATTTCATTATTATTGCATTATTATACTGTATTATTTTAATTTAATATTATCATATTATTATATTATTTGATTTTTATATTATTACCTGATTATACGACTATATTATAATATATTATTGTTTTTTTTTAAATATTGTTACATTATTACTACATTATTTATGTTTACATTTTTTTTTAATATTATTAGATTAGTATATTTTTATATTATTATATATTTTTATATTAGTATGACATTACATTATTACTATAGTATTATCTTTTTCTAGTACTGTATTAGTGTATTGTTACATTACTATAATATTACTATAAGATTACTATAATATTACTATAACATTACTATAACATTACTATAATACTACTATAATATTACTATAACATTACTATAATATTACTAAAACATTACTATAATATCACTATAATATTACTACAATGTTTCTATAATATTACCATAATATGACTATAATATGACTATAATATTGTTATAATATTGCTATAACATTTTCTATTATTTCTGTATTATTACACTATTATTACAAGATTACTACAATACTACTGCTATTGTTGTTATTGTTTTTTATTATATGAATATATTATGGACTAAATATGACTAAAAAGAGGGACGAATTTTAAGGGGCACATCAGGGCGATCCAGATCCCGCCAGGGAGCCTCCAGTGCTCTACCCCGCTGAGCGGGAACGGGAGCGCGCCGAACGAAGCCTGTGGGTCTTTTCGCCCGCAGTGGTTTTCATGGGTCCGTGTCATGGAGGAATGGGTCCAAGCATCTTTAACCATTGGACATTTCAACTCATTTTGTTGGTTCATGTTGGTTGAAATTTGGTTATATAAAGATGATCGAGGTCTGAATGTTCGAACTAACCAGCAAAATGGGGGTAACCATCAACATGGGGTGATTTTACCAGTAGAAACAAAGGGTTTAAACCAGCATTAATCGAGTACAAAACCTTAACCACGATTGATGGGGAGTGAGCCACCCCTTGTATTGGGAGCAATCCTGTTTATGGGGTTTCAACCACGACATAAACCAATCATGGAATATCTAACACACATTAATCAACAATTTGATATTCGGTGGTTTCAAGATAGGGTATATCCATCCCCAAATCATGGCAAATTTGTGGGGAAAATGATGATCATCTTTTGGAATGTTGTTTTCCAAAGACAAAAACACGCCCCACAAGGAACTCTTCCAGCACTACACCCGGGTTTTTGAGGTTGAGGATATAACAGTATACACACACACACATCACACAAGCAATGAATGACCTACGACTTCTTAATCTGCAGTCAACCAATTTGAGCTGCTGGAAACTCGCGGCGAATCCGTGGGAAGTGAATATGTGGGTCCAGGATTACGGAAGCCTTTTCTTCATGCGTTGCCATTTCATTTTACGGTGATCAATGCCCTCTCTACTTCAGGGTGCATCCCAGCTAGTAGGTGGGTGGTACCCCAATTGTATACATATACATGTATATATATATATAAATAGATGTATATGTGTAGAATATCCGCAGTTATGGAATAATTTTTGGGGTCATCAACTTCCCAACTTGGACATGAGGCCCAACCAAAGATGGCGGCCAGGGCGACGTTGAAGGCAAAGAAGATGGCGCGGGCGCCTGGGCGAACGGCCCCGGCGGGTTGTCATACAGCCTCCAAATAGGTGGCTGGGCGTGGGATGTGTCCTTTATGTGCAATATATATATATATATATGATATGTAATATGTATACATATATCTTCATTATTATCATTATTATTAACTGTTGTTATCATTATCATCATCATTATCACTATCCCTTTTTCCTCTTATTGTTATTACTAAGATCATCTTTGTCATTATCATTTTCACTATCATTGCCATTATCATTACCATTATCACTACCATTTTCATTGTCATTACCATTATCACTATCATCATCATTGTTATCATGTGATATGTACATATGTATATATATATACATAACTTGTTGATTCCAATGAACATAGAAAGTTACTGAACATCGCAAGTTCCTCCGGGAAAAGACTGCCTTTTGACTGCTGTGTTCAAGAGCAAAAGTTGTCAAAAGAGAAGCCTTGATGTGCAGCAGGCACAATTCTTCAAGCAACCCACGGCTCAATGAAAATTCTCTGGTTTAGACAAAGACTTGAACGGCTGCAAATATGACGTCGCTGTGTAGACTAGACCTGGGGCCCTACGGGCCAACACTCCAATTCCAATCCCGAATAAAACAGCGTCAGCATTTTGATTTCAGCCACGTGGTCTTCCCAAAAAATCTACGACGTCAAATTGATGTCCTTCTTGCAGAAGATATCATTTTTGAGGGACTTTTTTGGGTCCATGGTTGGGACCCAGCCATGCTCTTCATTTCCCAGTGCCATCCCAAGTCTCCCGCAGTGCCACGACCTGACCCATGGCCTCTCGCGCCATCTATGGATAGACCCTGCCGAAGACCGGCACCTGGACTGCAGGGAAGGGAAGCACCAACGGCAATCCCAGGGTGTGCGGGGTGGACTTGGCCATGGATGAAACTGGTGAGTCAGGTGTGCCACATGTTTGTTCATGGTCATTGAGGTAAACAACTGTCAATTTGCATGGTAGAGTGGTGAATAGTGGTTCACTCTCCACCCTGTCAGCCCTGATTGTGGGGAATTTATGCATTTCTAGGGTGGTTCTAGGCTGGCAACTTAGGGAGATGAGGGCTTGGAACACCTTCCCTGCCTTGGGCTCAGCGAGACGCTTAGATTCTTAGATCAGGCCATTGCTTCATTCGCCATGCTGTGCCTTGCCATCGCAGCGCTTCTTACGCAGTCGGCCGTGGCCATCCGGAAAAACGCAGAAGGTGAGGATCTTGGGCTTCCGCCAAGCCACGGTCCCTGGTATGGGGATCTCGGTGGCACATCTCAGCTGCAGACGCACCAATGGCATGGCGCCAATGGCATGGGTGCACAGCGCCTCGCACTTTGCGAGGGGTTGGGGGCGGCCATGCAAGGCATGAAGGGTCACATCTTGCACTGCGAAGCCCAGTTGTCCAAAATCCGAAAGGCCTTTGAGGTCCCAGATGCAGACGAGATTCTGAAGAGCAACAGCATCGACTTGGCAGAAGCAGAGGAGAGTGCGGGCAAAAGTGGCGCCCAGATGATCTTTAGCAAAGACAAGAAATACATCATCAAGACCATGGCCGAGCGAGACCTGAAAGCCTTGGAATCCGTGATCAATTTGTACGTGTCACACATTGTGGGTCATTCCAGTACTTCTGAGATGATGAGGCTCTATGCCATCATTGAGGATCCTCAGGGTGGCTTCTGGACTATTGGCAACAACTGGTTGCCGGTGAGCTTTCCCATCGTATGGGACCTGAAAGGTTCCCGAGTGGGCCGCGAAAGTCCTAAACACAGTCGTTCCAAGAAGGACAAAGATTGGTTAAAGGAGTCCAAAGCTTTAGCAGTGCCAGCAGACCAACGCACGTCCATCCTACAAGCACTGGAAAGTGATAGTGAGTTGCTTGCTCGTTCCAAACTCATTGATTACTCCCTCATCGTGGGGCAGTTGAAATATGACTTGCAAGCATGTGACGGGCCGAATCAACCCAGGTGCGTTGCACCTGTTTGTCATCCACAGGGAGGCTGTGGTGAAACTGCATACGCCTTGGGTGCGAACTTCGATGACATCAAGAAATTCTATTGTTCAAAGGGCTCTGTCAAAGAGCCTGAGCCCGGGCATACATGTGTGGGCGGCATCACTTCTGGTCTGCAGATCTACTTCCAGTGCTTTGGCATCATTGACCTGTTGAAGCCATTCGATCTGAAGAGTAGGTTGGAGTACACCAGCAAGGGAGGCTTTGCACGGCAGGTGTCTGTGCAGCCTTCAGGTGGGCATCTAGATCAAAAAAAACATATTAGGATCAAAATGGCTCAAAAAATAATATTATTAGGATAAAAAAACATATTATTAGAATCCCAAAAAAAATATTCTCGGACAGGGGAAGGAAGGAAGGAAGGAAGGAAAGGAAAGGAAAGGAAAGGAAAGGAAAGGAAAGGAAAGGAAGGAAGGAACGAAGGAACGAAGGAAATGTATTTGTGCAAATGTATGTTATGCTCCAGCCTGCCCCAACTCCCCAAAGGTCAGGTTTATGGTCAAGTATCTCTTGGGGGGTGGAGGGGTGACACGTGGTATATCATCAGCATAAGAAGTATATGCCTACGGCTGGAAAACCGTACGTGCGTTTTGCTTCTTTTTTGAGTATTGCTCTTTGTCTTGGGGTTGGGGTGGGGTTGGGGTGGGGGGGCATGTCAACGTTCCTTGTACTTCGTACAGGATATATTGCCATGTTGCTAAGATCTCTGGGATCGCTTACTACGTGACATGTTGCTACGCTGCTGAGATCTCTAGTGTGGGTTGGGGTTGGGGTGGGGTGGGGTGGGGTGGGGGGGCATGCTAACGTTCCTTGTACTTCGTACATGATATATTGCCATGTTGCTAAGATCTCTGGGATCGCTTACTACGTGACATGTTGCTACGCTGCTGAGATCTCTGGTGTGGGTTGGGGTTGGGGTTGGGTGGGGTGGGGGGGCATGCTAACGTTCCTTGTACTTCGTACATGGTATATTGCCATGTTGCTAAGATCTCTGGGATCGCTTACTACGTGACATGTTGCTACGCTGCTGAGATGTCATGCTATACCTGCGTTGCTGGCAGTGGCGCTATGAGTGCCATAATGGCAACTTGCTGTCGAAGACAGCTTCCGCACTGATGGATCGCTGAGCCGACGAAGAGTGTTAAAACAAATCTGAGCATCCACGTCTGATGCACATGATGTTTACCTGGATTTGTCAAAAATCAATAGATTTTGCATCCACTTTTTAAAACCAAAATTCAGTTATCCAAAGAGTTCGGAAGAGCATTTTATATTGTAAATTACAGGTGATTGTGACTCTCCTGGAAGCAAACAATCAAAACGCTCGCGCGGTTTCCCATCCGCCGGGAAGTATATGATATAGGCGATATAGGCAGTCTATGGGTGGTATATTATATCCAGAATTTTGAAATAGTATACGGATTATAGGTACAACCTATCTATATATTATATGTAGGTATAGGGATGGATGGGGCATGGGTACGTATATTGTTACGCTGGGGAAACTATAGAAACTATAGCAAAGAAGTGAAAAGAAGTAGTATGGAGATAGTTTGCTGCGCCCTCCCCCCAATCCCCCTCCCCTCCCGCTTCTTTATTTACAACCAAGAGTGCCACATTCAAGGCACTTCAAACTACAGCAATACCCGTGAGAACAGGACTTGTTTGTTTAAAACCCAGCGTGTGCGCTCGCAGAACACACTATTTGACATGCGTAGAAATATATGTCTAGACAGTTTCAGAGACACGCATCCAATACCACGGTGCCTCAACCTACATTCTACACGTTCGCAAGGGGCATGTTCTGCAGTATACGCACATGGAGTACCACATTCAAACTACAGCATCACCTGTGAGAATTAGGTCTTGTCTATCTGCTTTGGGGGGGAGGCGCCAAATATATGTCTATACAGTTTCACCAACCAAACAATGGAAAACCGATGAATGCCATAGAAAATTGAAGAAAAACGTGGCAAAATCAAGGAAGGCCACGGAAAATTGAAGCACAGCCGTGGAAAAAACTATGAACCGGATAGAAAACCGAAGAAAACACGTGGACAAATTGATGAACGCCATGGAAAATTGAAGCAAAACCATGGAAAAACTGTGGAAAACCATAGAAAATGGTTAGGGAAACTGTGAGTTTGGCCAGAATATTTTTTTGATCCTAATATTTTTTTTGATTCCTGGGGAATATTTTTTTTGATCCTAATATTTTTTTTGATACGCTTGCCCTTCAGGTGCTTACGCCCGACGCTTCCGAGACTTCATGCAGCGCCATGTCTTCCCCAAGAAGCTGGCAGAGACCACAGCGCCACTGATCTTCAGCCCAGAGCTCTGCAGGGGCTGGGGCAGACGACCACTTCCATGGCAATTCTTCGACAGAGAGGGCTAGGCCTGCATGGCGGCGACGGTGCCAGCACATCAGCCGGTGGAAGAAAATAGGGAGATGATGGGGAAGGGAATGGCTAAATCAAGCGTTAGCCATTGGAACTCATGCATGCACACACTTGCTCAGAAAAATCTTATCGAATTATTGATGTGGCAGGCATCGTATGTGCGAAAACACTTCAGTAAAACCTGACAGGAAAATTTGGTTGACCCAACGTGAGAAATAGTGCGAAGTAATCTTTCTATGTCCTTGCTCGAAGGTTCAACAAGTTCTGATGCAGCTCAGTCAGATTGCGAAAACCGTACAGTCGTTTGGTGTGAAAAACGTTTGAGAAATTGTTTGAAAAACGTCGTGCCGGTTCTAGGCTTAGCCGGATGCCATCAGTGAAAATAAATGAGGTTGTCAAAGTGATCTTGCAAGCTATGTCCACGACATCCATGCCAAGATCTGCAGGTACAAGTGGTTGATCAGACCACTCATCCACCGAAATGCCATAGCTTCGTTGGACTGGATAGGCAAATCGGCTCCAGTTCCCCTGCAGAGAATGAAAACCTGTTTTGAAATTGAAATAGAAATGAAATCAAATCAGCAAAGATCAGGTTGAAACCCAGTAAAAAACACCGAGTTAGAAGTTTTACATCTCTTCAGATGTTCCACACACACGCCCCGCTGCCGCGAGGCTTTTTTAGGAGTCACCGACGGTGAGGAAGCTCTTATCTGTTCCCTGACGCAGGATATTGCAATGACATCAAAATACAGGGAAAGGGACAAATTAATTAGTCAGCGGGCTCAGCACTCACGTCTAGAGGCCATCCTCAATTTCCGACAGGTCATCCATCTCCAACTGCAAAGCATGCTGTGACAAGATCTGCGACGTATTTGCCAAATGGCTGGAAAGGTGGGCCAGGTCTCCTGCCGTGAACAACTGACTAGGGTCCGACAAGTCAGGTTGTTCTGTTTCGATCTTCTCAAGGATCGCTGCATTCGCAGCTCTGTCATTGCTGAGAATGTTGTACAGACTGCTAGCCAGTTGGTGGATCTGACTGGGAACTTGTAATGGGACTGGATTGGCCGCAGCGGATGTGTCGTCATCCATTTCGGATTCATGGGGTGACTCATGGTGTTCTGAAGTCTGATCTGCATTGTCAGACGGTTGCCACGATGAGTTCCACGACGAGAAGTTGTCCTGTCTCTCTGGAATGCCATAATACCGACGCCAGTAATTGGCTAGGCGGTTCGATTGCTGCCAGCTGTCGATATATCCACCGTCCGTGGATCGGACATGACCTATGATACCATTGAAGAAGTATTCAGGTTGCTTGATGTGTTCTTCTCCGTGACCATCCACTTCTGTTACCATCAGGAGATCAGGAGTCTCCGAATGAGGTGCAATAACCTTTTTGAAGATGTGAGTATGCAAAATCAGATGGCATTTTCCACCTGTGGTCTGCAAAGGAGACGTCTCCCCTTGGGGGTAAGACTGAGCTCTGGATGGTAGAGGGACTGGGAGGGTATCAGCTGTGTATCCGTAGTGATTAGCATTGGTCGTCACGTCACCAGGTTCAGTGGCGTGAGGGAGATATTGGCTTGGTGGCCAAGATCCTGGTGTTGGAGCCAACCTTGGATTGTGGTCGGATGACGCAGCGGCACTGCTGTGTTGACCAGGCAGGGTGGACTGACGACGATGAAGGCTCATGGGTCCGCGGGGAGAATCAATGCCAGCACTATCGGAATCACGTTTGGTCATGATGTATGCTTAAGCCAAAACCATAAAAGGACAAAGATAAAAGCAACACCAACCATGACACAAAGATGCGCAGATTAATGCCCCTGGGAGAACGAATTGGCATTGACAAATAATGTCAAGAATCAACGGTCTTTTTTCCCGATCAAGGAAGCATGTTGCGGTTTGGCAGTGCTTTATGACAGCTCAGCCTCATCAATGATGTAGGGTTGGCGATCATTCTCGAAACGACGAATCTCATTGGGGAACAGAATAGTCCATTGCGGGCGATTTTCATGGAGGTAGTCGAACAAATGACGTTCGTTCCAGAGAACAAAGGTGTCTCCCGTGATGTCTTGCCACCGAAGATCCATAGCTGTGGGTTCCACATAACAATCCCAGGTGTGGAAGATGTGCTGACAGATGTAGTACAGCAATGTTTCCACCTTCAGCTGTCTGATATGGGTCGGATGGATCAGTACATGGTACGTGAACAACCCAATTTCCTCCATTCGGCCCAAAGATGGCAGGCCGTCACAAGATGTCACCTCCATGTGATCATGGCCGAGGTCTCGTAAGACCGGACGGACCTGGTCCAAGTTGATGATGATCAGAACCCTGCGGGTGCACGTCTGGGACCTGAGGGGCAGGTCGCCACCCTTGGCGGTACTGGGAGTTCCAAGAGCGATTCCGATCAGAATTGTTCCACATGGGCGGATCGTCCCTAGATCGAGAGCGATCAGGTTGGATGAGTAATCGGATGAGTAAGCCATAGTGACTGAGAAACAGAAAATTGAAAAAGACATGTGAAATGACAAGCAGAATTACAAATTAGCAAGCAAAAAACCAAACTAACACAGATCATCAAGACAAGTCAACCAAACATGAAGAGACGCGTGGGCGCGGCCAGCAGTTTTCCTTTCACGTCGCAGGTTTAGTCCTCTGCTTCCGGTTCATTGGACGGAAGTTCCCGATTTCGGTATTCGGGTAGTTGTTTGATAGCGGCCCATCGAATTTTGCAGGCTTGAGGGTCACGGTGCAAACGGGCGCCAATTGTCTTCCATGATGGACGGGACTTGGTGTCATTCTTGAAAGTGAACAACTCTTGGTCCTCGGCATTCGTCCAGGGATTATACCAGGCCGGAGCGCCCACGTTGACTTGTGGGATGACAATTTTGGTTCGGGTGGTCGCCGTGGTTGATTCTGATGGCGCAGAGGTGCCAGGAGGTGGGCCATGTGTTGGGGCCGAAGTTGTTGTGGGTGCCCCAGGTGCCGCGATGGAAGCTGTGTAGGTGGGTACCTCCTCTTCTGATTCGTCCGAGTTTAACCCGGATTCTGTGACTTCAGTTGAGATTGGCAATGGAGGAGGATCGGCAGGGAGATCTGGTGCCGAGGATTCCGCACGCTGTTTCTTCTTTGATTGCGGTGCATCGACCGGATGGGCTCTTTGTTTTGAGCGGACTGGAACCGGGGTTGTGGTGCGTGTGGTGGCACGTGGGAAGTCAGGATTGGTGTTTGGGACGCCCCATTTTGGGGGTCGTCCGCCAGGTGCTGGGTCGGAATGACCCGCAACAGGGGCAGGAGTCAATCGTATACCATCCGGGTGTGATGGAGGTGTTGATGGGGCAGGCATTGGGACGAATCTGTGAAGGCGATGTGTGGCTGAATTTGGATGTCCAACCCTTGAAGAGGTGGCGTTCGGTGGATCGTCCCATTCAATGGACGGTTCAAAGAAAGAAAGAAGACCAGCAAGGTAGTTCAAGTGCATGATAGCTCGAGCCAGGTGATGGTGGAACTCACGTCCTTGAGCGTGATCCATGTTCGAGAAGGAACAACAAATGGCGAAGGTGGGTCACAATTTTGAGCCAACTGAAACGACATGAAACCGGCAACACAAAGAAAAGAAAGGATGCATGCGCAGGGCAACACAAACAAACCCCGAAAGAGAAAGTATCAAAATTACAAAGTGCTAGTTGCGAGTGATGGCGCTGACAGGAAGTTTTCTTTCCTGCGGCTGAAGGTTCTAATGTTGGGTCAGAATTTGATTGGAAATTTGCAGGAGTTCCGCGTTGGAAAATCCTGCGAGAGTGTATAAGTGAATTAACTGGTCCAAACCTTGTCGGACTCTGAAATCGGGGAATGCCCCTTTGACCACAATGTGACAACGGGATCGGAAACCACTCGGGAGTACTTTGGGAGGAGAGGCTGAGAACGGAGATAGAACTTGGGAGATGCTGGTGGGTCCTTGATAGATCAATTCGAACAGTTTGGTTTCCAACATAAAGCCCAGAAATTCTTGGTCCGGTTAAGTCTCCGGTATGATGGGTTTGCCGTAGAAGCCATCGTCAAGGAGGACTTCGTATGGTGGCAGGTCTGTGAGACGTGCGTCACCAAAGATCAGCCTGTTGTCCACATACCTGATGTGGCGAATGAAAAGGTTGTGGTTGGAGAGGATCTGTTTGAAGTTGATGGACCAAATTTGTTCACTAATGGAAACGACCATGAGGCAAAGGGCTGGAGACAGAGGACTGCCCATGGGGCTACCTCTGCTTTGGCGGATACATTTTTGGCCAAGAGCAAATGTCTGCATGTCCAGTGCCGAAGTTATCAAGCCTGGGACGTCCTTGATGATGATCTTACGTGTCACAGTGAGGCCTCGAAATGTCCGGCCCTTGATGATGTCCCCAGGATTGTTGGTTTTCCCCGGATAGACCGAGAATGCCTCGTTGTCAGAGACATCCATGTGTGGACGAAGAAAGTCCAGCAGCATAAGCCAGGCTCCGACAAACCTTTCTTGATCGATGCTGGTGAAGAATCCTGCCAGGCCTTGGTTTACCAGAATTAGATCGGCGTCGACAGGCGCTGATTTTAGGATGGTTAGGAGTGCGTAAACATCTCCTGAGGCGAAATGGTCAGTACAGGCCACTGGAATCAGCTGAAAGATGAGGCGTGCCAAGATGTTCAGCATGGGACGAAACGGAGAGTCAACGAAGGAAATGATGGGTCGGCCACTGCGGTAGTCTTTTTTCTTTTTAGCCAAGATGTATCCGGCTGGTAGCTGTCGTCCTTGGCCGACTGCCCATGGATATGATTTGCCATGTTTTTGTTGGAGGGATGTCACAAGTGACGTCACTATGGAAGGAGGATCCAATGGGACTGGTTCGAAGATGGATGGATGTTGGAATGTTTGTTCAATGGCTTGGTAATAGAGGCACGGGCAGTAGATACGGAGGGATGATGAATGCTTGTCCTCGCAGTGGAAAATGGCACCTTCAAAGGTGGCTTGGAATTGAGAGATGGTGGACTTGTTGATGTGACACGTGACGT